GAACAGCCTGTATCTCTTTATGGGCCATCAATGACGGACGCAGACGGATCTTCGTCACGCTTATGATTTACCGGTGAGAGTACACAAGTGGGATTTAGGAGAGTCCTGGTATGCTAGTTATAGCCTAGTGTCACTCTTCACTTTGGAGTTATGCTAACTGTTACGTGACATCACGTGACAGACGGCTTTCATAATCGCTCGATAGTGATCCAGCCATCGACAAGTCCATCAGGCATGCGTTTTCATCGATATGTTAACGTAAAGTCAACACGATTCTACATGGCTTTCATGGAAAATCAAATGTTGCATGTGCAGAAAGTATTATCGATCGTACGATAATTGAAACACTTTTGTGGATCACGCTCTCATGAATGAACACCCCTGCCATTGATGACGACATCGCGGTGACGCCCGTGGACGATGGACCGCTTTCACATCCAGCATCGTCATATCGTTACCCCAATTTTCCTGGCTTACTACCGTTTGATGTATGCTCCATACGTGAAAGTTATATTCTGAAAATATGCGTTGAAAATTTTACCTCGTATACGAATAATGAGCGTTTGCCTTACTTACATAGTGTATTTGCTCCATGAACAATTTTCGTGATTAAACGTCGTGTTAGGTATTATTAGCGTAACTGCGTAAATAGAAAATATGTCGTGTGGACCAATGATTGTAATGACCATTAGACTAGTTCTAGGCTGAAGGAACACTTAACGCGTTCACGCTGGTTAAACGCGTGTTTTTTTTTTTTCTTGTGAATTCGTGATTTTCTTCGACGTTTAGCCTTGAGTCGGGTACACTTGCGAGAGACCAGTAAAAGTCAGATGCAGTGAACTTGCTTATTGCCGCTACGACCAGTTATCCAGGAATGTAATGAGCGGGGGATACATACAACGTGCACATGGATATCGTCAGACACGCATGGACACACATTAAACACGATCGTTGCTCAACGTTGCATATCCTCCTGACGAATAAAGTGGCGGCTGTAACGTTTTAAATAAAACGTGAGACATCGACATGACATCCAGGCCATGGGATTGCCTCGAAATACATTAATGAATTCCCTTCATTATATTAATGCATTTACATTATTAAAATTTATATTGATTTATGTATAGTTTTTAAATAAATTATAGAAAATTACGAGTACATTTTGTGCGTATCTTTTTGTGTATATTTTATACATATAACGGCGTTATTGGAAAGAATGAGTCTGGGACCTGTTTAACTTAAAAAATATTAAGTATATGTATATTACTTAAAAATTGTCTCGGCAATTACAATAACAAATAATTACAATAACAAATAAAAAGGTTAGCTTTTGAGTCTAATAATTACTCATATTGAATATTTTTAATTGTTTATAATTGCAATTGTAGTTTATTATACATATATCATTAAATTACGCCGGTAAATTTATAATGTCTCAATAAATTATACTCAATTTAAATAATTTAAATAATTTTTATAAGTTGCCACTGTTGCTACACAATGTATTGTTAATTTGACTAAAACAATGGCGTTAAATGATTTGATTCGAAAAACTGTATTAAATTTGATTTAAATTTGGTGTTTATTAATTACTAAATGCATTAATATATTTACGAAACATCTGTATTAAATTTTAAATTTTATATTATACTTATATTATACTTAATTTGGAAATTTCTCTTGCGTTCAGTAATTGGCTCATTGCCCTGATTATTACTCCTATTGTTTAATATATTTACTTTATAACTAACTACGGAAATGGATTGATTTCTGTTTTTACACCTATAAAAGTTAAAAGTAACAAGTTACTTGACTCAAAGGATTGTATTGCCATTGCTTTTTTGATATCTAATAATACATCTAAAAATATTAACGGATAAGAGAAAGGGATAGATAGATATGGATAAATTTCAGCATTATTGATTTATGTATAGTATTTAAATAAATTATGTAAAATTAGTACTCCGATATGCCTTTCAAGTGTTAAAATAATCAATTCTAATTATAACAAGCAAAAGGTGAGTGTCAATAGAGAATTCACAGACGTGAGATATACTATACAGAATGCAAAATTAAAAAATCTTTAAACAAAAATAATAACATCACATATATATAGAGATAATAACAAACAAAAATAATAAGATAAATACAAGGTAACGCTAATTGCAAACTAATTGGAGCAGATATTGTTTTGGGGCAAGTTTTCTAAGAACAAACATAAAGAAAAACGAACAAAGAATAATAGAATATAAATGATATAAATAATAAAAATTAAAAACAATAAAGAATATAAATAAAATAAAAATAAGAGAGAGAGAGAGAGGTAGTATAGGTAGCATTCTAGTTTAAGTACAAGTGCCATAAAAAAAGTTGCTTTCCAGGGTCAGACAAGTTACCACAATTGCGCACGCAAACGGGTTAATGACACGCATTATTGTTTTTGCGATATTGAAAGGCTGTCATAAAAAAGGGGTGACTCGTGTTTGCGAACGTTATTGCAATACGTCGCTAACTCAGAAAATCAAGTGTAACGTAGTTTAACTAATTATAATATTTTTAAGTATTTGTAGGCCAAATTCACAATGTTGCCGGTCACCGGCAGTCAGTTTATTACAGCACACATGCACATTGCATATTTCTGCACTGTTTGTGACTGTTATTATTTGCCTGTCACGGCCTCGATTAGTCCGCCGACAAATTAAACGTTGCATGGCGCGAGATTTGCCTATGCGTAAGTACACAAATATTCTATCGGTATAACTACATGATTATTATTTAGTTTTATCTTCGAACATGAATAAAATTGTATACCTGAATATTAATCTGAATGTATTAATCTGAAATTCAAATTTCAAATTCGAGTATGTCAAAAATGTAAATCTATGTATATTTAATATAAATATATTTATATGAACTTATGAGAATTAGTTAACTCTATTGATATTTGTGAGAATCCAAAATAGGATTGAAACGTATACATATATCTATCGTTTATAATACAATAGATATAGTTACTAACAATTTGTATTAGCTCTTAAAGTATCTGTATTGGCTTTTCTTTAATTCATTGATTTATTTATTGGAGCCCTATCTGGTATAAATTTATGTATATTTATTAAATACATAATAAAATGAAATATATTTATTTATACTTATATTTATATTTATATTTTTATGATAGAATCTTCCATGCGTATTATTAATGCTCATGGTATTCATTTTGTATGCGTGCCCATAAATACGATCAAATATGATCGTATAGGACGATTATAATATCAAAGTGAAAAGACAAGTTTTTGTAATAAATTAAATTAAATTTAGAATGTCGCAATTACATGAAAGATTTTCGGTATGAAATGACTACTTATAGTCGTGTCGACGACACGCTGAATGCCAAGAAATCGTGGAGCATTGATCGCGAGATTCGATGATGAAAGGGGACATCGTTGTGTACAGAGCGAAAGAATGCAGTCGTTCCCTCGAACGAGTCGCTGGAAAACTGCGAAGTGTTGGTAAGCACCTGCGTTCCATTGCACCGCTACGAAAACAGATATATATATATATATATATATAAATGATTCGGTCAATAACTCCTTATGCAAATAGGATCATGTTCAAACTGCGTATTTGATACGCAGTATCAGATTTTGCGACTGTGCGAATAATGCGTAAAAAAATCTATACGCTTGAAAAATTTTGAAAAAAGTCATTAAAACATGTAAAAATAATAGAATACAAAAATCCAGTAGTGGAGGCTGGGACGAAACGCCATATTTAAGTAATATTCTTCGCAATATATTAAATTAATTTTTCTTCGTTTACCAATGATGGTCATATTAAAGGCCGAATCGTTTACTAATAATAATAAAAATTTCATTTTAATATATTCTACGAAATACAATATAATTTCGCTAAATCTATCCAGCATTCGTGGTATATGCTCATTTTTAATTCCTTTATTGTAGAATACAAAAATATTTGTCTTCAAACATTTAAAATTTCATCAGTTTCAGGTGTTAATTGACGACGATTTTCTTTTGTAATTGACAACAGATTTCTTTTTTCAAGATTGATTAGCGATGTTTTCTTTGAAATGTTTATAATCTTATAAAACTCATCAAAGAGAGAGAGAGAGAGAGAGAGAGAGAGAGAGAGAGAGAGAGAGAGAGAGAGAGAGAGAGAGAGTTTAAAATATGAATGGATAATATTCATTATCAGCTTCTCGTGAAACATGTAAGAATATTTTAATTAACGCGTTCTTTTCCGAGCGTTTAAGAACCCGAGGCGGACATGTTGCAAGAGTAGTAGTTGTTCGAATAGGGTCAGACTAGCGACAGTAGTAAATCATGCGTTGCGTCGGACATATATCCGAGAGAAATATCTCTACTCGCCATTAATATGGTATATATTGCGCATTAAATAATTACTATGTGAAACACGACATTTATTACTGCCATACTTATCTTCTCAGTCGATTTATTTAATATGACATTTTTAGGACGATTTGAAAAAATTCTTGATTAATGTAAAAAAAATTAATGACTGTCTCACATCATAAATACATACTATTATCAGCAATTTAATATTTTTTACCATTTCTCATTAGTTTTTATTTGATAAAAATCTGAAATATATATAATATTAATATAAAGAAACACACACACACCTTTTACATATAATATATTTATTTTACATATAATAACTTTTACGTATATAAAGGGAAAAACAAGAGATATAGAGAAACTTTCTTAAAACTTAATTAAATAATAGCTAAATAAATTATATATATAATTTACCTACAATTAATATACATATATGCATATATTATAACTAAAAAGATCTATACGAGGCGTTAAAAATATTCAATGGCGGTCATATTTGAAATTTGAAACAGAGTAAATATTTGTTCCGATTGCGCAGTTAATTCTGGCATAATAGATATAAGTTTATGGTCAATATTTGACGTAATACAGAACTTTCTTTTTTTCTTCCATTTACAGAACAAAACGAATACCCAGGACAGCAGGATAGGTCTCGTGAGGGCAATGAGCACTATGCAAACGCAAATGCCTGGATCTTTACCTGATTACCAAATCGATCCTTATAGACTTATAGAAGACGACCTTAAGGATATATTTGACGATATACGGATGGTAAGGCTTTTTATTTTGGTTTGATTAGAAAGTAAGATTTACGCTTCCAGCTTCTTCTTTTCTCTCTTTGAAAACGTTAAACCCGTAATAAATAAAGTAGGATAAGTGATGTTGATTTCTCAGCCATATTATACGTAGTACCTACTCATCAATAGATCTCTTGAAAAGTTAGTTTAATTATTTTAAACCTGGTAGAATCCTAGAATCCGTAAATGATCAGAATTTTCTCAAATTCTTATTAATATTAGCAACTATAACAATTACGTAAAATTGATAAACAACATTGTTAGTCATGAAGCAATATACGAATTAGTTACATAAAAGAAGCCGAAGGCTATTAATCCTCATTCCTATGAGGAGGCGATTGTCATTCACATGCATAGCCTCGAGAAACTTTCGGGAAGTAACAGCACACCACTTTAACAGCTATTTATGTAATTGACTTCATCGATATTACGTACGCTGGATTATTGTGAAATTGTGCCGGCCAACCTAAGACGAGCCCAGTGATGCGGCAAAAAAATGCATGCATCAAAAAGGAGTAATTAGAGTAGACTGCGTAATCGATTTGCTTTGATTTCGCATGATAAGCTTGATATTTCTATTAAGTCAGCGTAAAAGACGTACATGTTATATTTTTTCTATTTCTAATATAATCTGCCTCTCTTAGAATTATCTCAAAACGATATTTTTATAACTTATACAAGAAAATAGACTAAATTCCCTCTTTTGATATCTCATTCTGTAGACAAAAATAAAAGACACGTATTTTTTCATTCATGTCCTATCGCACTTTTAAGGAATGCATCCCTTAGAAAAAAATCGATATTTTTTTAAATATCGTCAGAATCATAAAAGATAGAAAAAGATAAAGTTGATGGAGGGGGGGGGGGATTTATAGAATACTTAATAATTATAATTAAAAGAATTTTTTTGTTTAGATTTTTTATTTAAAATTTGTTTAATTATTATTACATAAGGTACTCTTGAAACAATACAACTCTTTTATTTCAAACATTTTTTTATCTTTTATAGTTTTGATATTTGCTTCGAAATAAATTATCTAATTATGTATTTATATTTAGAAGTAGCATCGTTCCTTTAAAAATAAATATATTTTCAAATCTGAAAAGATAGATTTTATTACAATTAATAGTACATAAAAAACCCCCTCGAATGGGTTTTTTCTTTTGCTATTTAATATTTATTTTTGTTATAATTCAGTTATAAAATTTTATTTAAAGTTTAAATTTTATTAAATTCTTTATATTCTTTAACTAAATTTTAAATGTAACAGTGCATACATCTTGCTGTTTCTATCTCAATCAGTGGATGACGCTTGAATTGACGCAGCTCGAGCATTTTCATTTCTTCAGTGACAAGAACAATCGTCAAGAAGCACATTTATAAATATTGATGAAGAGCCGTGCAATTTTCACGCGGCGGTGCCTCTGCTTAAGGCGCCTCAGCCCGTAAGCGAAAGCTGCTCGACTTCACGGTCTGCATATGGTCGAGAGGAGAACTTTTACTCACGATCAACGTTCGCGTATACGGCAAACAGTGTGAAATTTGCCCAATCTATAAAAACGATACTATTCTAGATGATTGTCGTACAATTATCGCACTAGAACTGCGAGATCTTGTGATCTTAAACTCTTCCAAAATATCATTCACGAATTCTTAATTATTAAAATGGTCGGTACCGCAAAAAGGAACGATTTGATAAATTGTCGGCATCAGCAGATGTTGGTGAAACAAAAGAAATTGTTTTCAACGAACTGTTGTAACTTCAACGTTGGTTCGTCACTTGATTTGAGGAAAGTTAGAGAAATCTAACTATTAGTATCGCGAGCACAGTAGCGCTATTTGAGCGATATCGAATCTCTTCGGGGTTTGCCAGTATTGACTTCCGGTCGCGTGATCCGCGCGAAGAACGACTCTAATGCAAGCTCATCGAGAGACGTAACAGACGCATGCGTTCTTTTCGACTTTGGCCAAATTCCAGAAGGAACTTTCAACCGGAGTCGCATCTGGAATCCAAAGCAGTTCCGTCTCGCTTGACGTTGTCCTCTTTCATTTATTGCATCGGAGACAGTTGTCTGACGAATATTTAATCCGCGATCGCGGAACGAGTTCCGATACTGTCGAAAGGACGAGAGTAGCAAATTTCTCTTCTGATTGCGCACTCCACCTGAATAGTTTTTTTTAGTTATAATCGAAGAAGGAAGAAGAGGGATTATGCTGTAAACTCTGTAAAGAGCTTAAGGAACTAGCAAAAACTTATTAATTTCCAGTCAATTAATGCAAACTTTATTGTAAAGAGTTTACTCGATATATTGATGATGTATGTATTGTTACAATATAATAAAATAAATTATATTACTCTCTCTAAAAGTTTTAGGATGAATCTCTCTTAAAGATTGAAAATTGAGCCACTCTTTTTTTTTCAAGACTCAATTTTCGCTTTAGAGTGAAATTTAGAGTGAAATTTCACTCCAAAGAATTTAAAGAGTATGGAGTTATATACATTTCATGAAACACCGTGTTTATATTCTTGCAATTTATTATATTTAGTGATAATAATAATTTTAAAACTTTTTTACAAATTATATAAGATGTTATGTTTGTACTTGCTTTGTACTTTATTCTATATAATGTAGATGTATCAATATTTGCACGGTCATCGATTTTAATTTTTATTCTACAGCTCTTTGGATCAATTCGGAGATACATGTCTTGTTATTTCAGGAACTTATAAAAAGGACCTCGCTAGAAGAGATGAGACCTATAAGCACATACTATTTCGATGGCCAGGGGAAAGCGATACGACCCATGTTCACCATACTCATGGCACGAGCTATTAATTATCACAAGGGAAGAAGAAAGTAAGTGGGGACGTGTTTCTGCAAACATGTTTGAAATTTATTTATAAAGAATCTTGATAACAACACTATAAATTGCACGTCTGGAGACTACAGAAGTCTAGTGAAATGCAAAGACGTAATCCTCTGCTTCTCTCGAATGTTTAAAAGAATATTAAATTGTTTCAAAAAGAGGAAACTGGAAGAAGACGATATATTTGCATAATTAAAAATGACAAAACAAAGTGAATAAATGTAAAACGGCTGATGTACTTATCGCATAACCTGATGCGATCCTTTATTATTCTTACAGACAAGAATTGAGTTTTTAATTGAGACTTTAAAGCAATGTTAGAAAAAGTTCATTAGAAAATTTGTGATTATGAAAATCGCGCGTGAGAGAGTCAACTCTTTTTATTAACGCTATATTCGAAGCTATAGTGAATCTCCGCACGTATGAAAACGTATGCTCACGGCGTTTAGAAAGCATTAAAAGTGTCGACAAAGTGGTACGTTAGAGATATCTATGAAAGCGGCGGCCGCGTCTCGTATGTACGAGCATACTACGTATGAATGCATATGAATGGGGCGGCCACGTGAATGAGAAGCACTCTAGCACACGTCGTAACAGTTAAACTGTTTAGGCGTGATTTAATTGTAGATTTTATTATAATTTTCATCGCAATAGCTGTATAGAAAAATTTTCAAGCTTGAGACAATATTTTCCAATATTTTTTAAATTGTTCAATTAAAAATTCATAATTTATAGAAGTCGAAATTATTAGTCTAAAAATACATATGTATATACGTGTAGTAGTTTTTTATTTTCCGATAAATTTTAAAGTGATTACAGGACGAAATTTTATTGTACATTGATTATGATTATAAGATATTTGAAATACTTCTCCGAGTGAAAGCGATTTAAGTTTACGATTTATCAAAGTCTATTTTTTATTATATTTAAATGCGCAGAAATTATCAGACTGAAACAAGTTTATTGCTTATCTTCTTAAACAAGATAATTTTCTACTTGCTGAATTTATTGATAAAGTGATATTCGAAAGAATGTCTCATTAAGAAATTTAAATTCTAGAGGCCGACTTCAAAATTTATCTAAAAATAAAAAATACTAAACACACATATATTTTATACATATATCTTTAGTTTAATAATTTCGATTTGTATAAATTATGAATTTTTAATTAAATAATTTAAACGATATTTGCAAAAAATTATCTCAAAAATTTTAATATAGATATTGCTATGAAAATCATTTGAATAACTTAAATTATGCTCGTAAATTTTTATAAACAATATAAAATCAAATTTTTATAGTTTACAAATATACATAATTAAGAGATTATGAACAAATATATTTATAATTTAAATTATATATGCTGACAATTATGAAAAGTAGTTGTACTAACGAATTATTCTACAACAAAGGATTTTCCTTTTTTTTTTCAGTGTTCTTTTGCATTCGCAACGACAAATAGCAATGATGTCCGAGATGATCCATAGCGCGTCTTTACTCCACGATGACGTTATTGATCAGTCGGACTGTCGTCGTGGCAAACCGTCGGTTAATGTCGTCTGGAGTCAAAAAAAAGTAAGTGCGTCCCATTTTCCGATTTGCAAACGTGATCGACATAGTATTTTACACGACACGTTTATTAACTTTTCGGAATTGATACTTTTTTAATTTTATTAATTCAAAATGTTACTATAAATTATTTTGTATATTAAAAAATTATCGAGAGTGGTCATTGCACAATGGTTTAATGATGTGACGCGACAATGGAAATTCAAACTCTCTCTAAAATAGCGAAGGAAGAAAGAGGCTAATGCGATTCATGACCAAACATTGGCCTTTGCTTTCTAGATTGGAAACCGGAAGCGGATCTTGAGTTCACGCGTGTTTTTGTTGTGAATATGGAAAATTCGGTAGTGCCGAGACACGATAAGGAAAATTGTTCGAGTACTATTCATAGAGTACTAAATAATGTAAAACTATTTCGAAAGTGACCGCTGTTTACAAGTCAATCTGGCTCACTGAAGTTACATGTATTAGAAATCGACAGTTGGAACGCGATGGTGGGCGACACGTGACGCGATCGAAAAATTCAACTCTCAAATGCACGAGATTAACATACGACTTTCGCAATCGCTCGAATTTAATTTGCGTGCTTTTCCATATTAGCTGCGAGACATTTTCTAGCGTTTATTAATTAGCTTTCGATCGGCGTCGCGAATGATTGAGTTGCATTTACTATCAACATTCATTACACAAGTGCGTGCACTGGCAAGTGAAATGAAAGCGCGAACAGTGCTAGGTCAAGAACGCGCGAAGCTATTGACTAGCGATCATTACTTTCTTCCTCCCCCTCTTTTCTCTGTGTATAAAGTATCTTAAAAGTTCCTTTTGTAAAACTACGTTTCTTTGACAAGTATACGTATAGTATAGTATTTTTGTAAAAGATCGGTTTCTGTTTAATGAACAAATTTGTTAATTACTACTTTTATATACAATATTTATGTTTTTATGTTTGTTTACTTAGAATATAAGCGACTTTAGAATTTATAAATTTTAAAATTGCTGATACTCTATAAAGATATCAATCATTCCATGAAACACGTAATTATAAATAAAAGGAAATAGTATATATATTTTGTATGTATATAATTATTATTAAATATATTTTATACAATTCATTTTATTATTTAAGAAAAATTCCATGAGAAAATAATTAAATTTCAATATTTTCCTCTAAGTATTTTCGTAAAGTATTTGTGAATAATTTAAGACCTGGTTTCATCAATATAAAATTAACTTTTATCTTGGTGTGTTTATAATTTATACTATTTATCTTAAAATTAGAAAAAGATAAATAGTACGAGTTAAACTGAAATTAATCTTTATATTGAAAAAACCGGGCTGTAATGATATTAATAAATAATAATTTAAAAAGATAAATAAAAGTAATGAAAATTTATATTGCTCAGTTCCAACTTGACTTTTTAGTTCATTTTAATTAATTAAAAAAAGAAAATAGTTTAAATTAATTAAATACTTAATTTTTTGAAAAAATCAATTTAAGTTTTAATTAAATCTTAAAATGTGTATACACACATATATAAGTATTCTCCGAATATAGTTTATTCGTTAAACTTTAATTTAATCAATGCAATTATTGCATCACATAGCATTATGTAAAAGAAGTAATTACAGTACATTTTGTAAAACAGTGTTATACGAAAGGTATTGAAGTTGCACTTCTCATTTTTCTGCTTATGCCTACGTCGACATTATCTTGCAACATTACAATTTTGTAATGAAACTTGTCGCTTTAATGTTTCTAACTCGCGTATTGTAGATACATGTCGCACGATAAATGTGAATCGCAGTCTTAAACTGCTATTGTGAAATGCAGCGACAGCTTACAACTGCGAACATTCGCAACCAACTAAAGACCAAACTACATATATTTCTAGAAGATCTCAGGCACTTCTTAGATTTCACATAAAATGTAAGTGCATAATCGTGAGACGCATTGAAAAAAAAGATCTATTTACGATCCTGTAAAAATGACATCAAGGACTTACAAAAATAGCGTCCTTGTAATTTCTTGCAATTTGTCAACAATTGTTAGAGCAATTTGTATGATGAATAGCATACGCAAACATTACAAGGAAGCTTCAAAAGTGTTACAACCTTGACGCATGATGGAATTAGCACCATTCAGAGAAATGGAAAGCCCAACGGTGGTCACGAAAGTTCCGACATTATTTCTTTGGTGCATCGGTTGCGAGGACAGCGCAGATGTTGAACCGGTGAATTGTGTAACAGGCTCTCGCATTAACGTACTGCTAATCGAGAGAACTCTTGCTGAAGTATATATAATAATTATATTCGAGTTACATTTTTACCAGTAATAGTGTTACGTGATAAAGTGGTTCGAATGTAAATTATTGAGTCAGGTGTGAAATTCGTAAATAACGATTGTAAATCAAACTCATACATCTGAGAGAGATAAAAATATGGCGAACGAGATCTTTTTTACCTGGCATTATTGGTGTTGATTATTAAGAGTAATATTAAATATAATAATAAATTATATGATAAATAAAAGTAATGAAAATTTATATTGCTCAGTTCCAACTTGACTTTTTAGTTCATTTTAATTAATTAAAAAAAGAAAATAGTTTAAATTAATTAAATACTTAATTTTTTGAAAAAATCAATTTAAGTTTTAATTAAATCTTAAAATGTGTATACACACATATATAAGTATTCTCCGAATATAGTTTATTCGTTAAACTTTAATTTAATCAATGCAATTATTGCATCACATAGCATTATGTAAAAGAAGTAATTACAGTACATTTTGTAAAACAGTGTTATACGAAAGGTATTGAAGTTGCACTTCTCATTTTTCTGCTTATGCCTACGTCGACATTATCTTGCAACATTACAATTTTGTAATGAAACTTGTCGCTTTAATGTTTCTAACTCGCGTATTGTAGATACATGTCGCACGATAAATGTGAATCGCAGTCTTAAACTGCTATTGTGAAATGCAGCGACAGCTTACAACTGCGAACATTCGCAACCAACTAAAGACCAAACTACATATATTTCTAGAAGATCTCAGGCACTTCTTAGATTTCACATAAAATGTAAGTGCATAATCGTGAGACGCATTGAAAAAAAAGATCTATTTACGATCCTGTAAAAATGACATCAAGGACTTACAAAAATAGCGTCCTTGTAATTTCTTGCAATTTGTCAACAATTGTTAGAGCAATTTGTATGATGAATAGCATACGCAAACATTACAAGGAAGCTTCAAAAGTGTTACAACCTTGACGCATGATGGAATTAGCACCATTCAGAGAAATGGAAAGCCCAACGGTGGTCACGAAAGTTCCGACATTATTTCTTTGGTGCATCGGTTGCGAGGACAGCGCAGATGTTGAACCGGTGAATTGTGTAACAGGCTCTCGCATTAACGTACTGCTAATCGAGAGAACTCTTGCTGAAGTATATATAATAATTATATTCGAGTTACATTTTTACCAGTAATAGTGTTACGTGATAAAGTGGTTCGAATGTAAATTATTGAGTCAGGTGTGAAATTCGTAAATAACGATTGTAAATCAAACTCATACATCTGAGAGAGATAAAAATATGGCGAACGAGATCTTTTTTACCTGGCATTATTGGTGTTGATTATTAAGAGTAATATTAAATATAATAATAAATTATAAAAGTAATATTAGATTATTTATATTTAAACTAATATAATATATATACATATAATATAAATTAAGAAAGTATTTTATTTTTTGTTTTTTATACATATATATTTGATATTATTTACAAAGTGATCATTAATATTAATATATATATATATGCTTATGCACATTTTTGAAGTAATGCTGCCTTTGATTCTTCATCTCATTAAATCAGAGAATGTTCCATAAGAATGTCATACTGAAATATAATTGTAAGTTGTTTCCCGGAAAGGAATAACATTAGCCAAAATTAATAAGCCTCGCAGCTGGACCATTACTTTCAGCGTTGATTTATGTTTACTTAGTGGAACGTCACCTCGCCGTGTAATTGCAAGAAAGTGTCGCCGAAGCGCGTGCTATTCCTGGAGGGAAACCCTACCAGTGTCTTTCGGTTATCGCATCTATAAAATACATGAAAATAAGACGACACATCACCTATGCCGGATGTGAAACTCAAAATTACGAGCTGTTTGTTGAGTCACTTAGCCATTGTCATACAAAACGATCTTTTGTCATTTTACTCGACCAAAACATTGTCAAAGATGAAGATCCGGAAGCTTCTTCTTGCGCCTCTCGGTGCAAATGTACTGGAATTATCGAACAGTCTTTCTTTATGAATCTTTTAACCTATTTGAAATAAATTTGTTTAAACCGTAACTTACAAGCATTTAGACGTTTGTAAGTAAGTAATTATAATAGTTAAATAAATAATAAGTTTTTGTATAAAAAAACTAGTTGATAGAATCGTGTTTTTCAATTATAAACCGAAGATTTTTTACAAACATTCTAAAGTGTTCTACTTTTTAAAAATATTTATCATAAAATATATTTATCGTAAAATGTGACAGCTTTACAAGATTGAAAAAAATGTAGAAATTTCAAGTATTTTATAAGTTAAAATTGTGGACAAAACAAAGTAGAAAGTGCGATAATGTAGTAACTTAATTTTAGATTTCAATGTTTAAGGAAGTTTAGAAATCAAGGTGCGACAGGGTCGTTAATAAGCCACAGGGTCGTTAAGAGCCGACGAGATGTTGCGGTTTTAACGTGTCACTCGTTATAAGCGATGTGTTCATCAACCATTTTATACATCAATCATTTTACATATGGATTCACTGACCGCAGAGCGATAGGCCAAAACTGAATGTGTGATATAGTTAATAAAACTTATCATTCGGCATTGCGTTCGGTCATCATGACACATATCGTTAAATTTCTAATATTATATCAATTTAAATCATCTTCCACCAATAATATTCCATTCAAGTTATTAAAATTTCATACAAGTGTAAGCTATATTATTTTAATAAATAAATCGCGACACATAACATAATATAACAATGTAAGAAATAACTTCTTTTAAAGCTGGAATTAATTATATATATAAACCAAAAAAGATTAAATGTAGGATCAATAGAATTAAATACAATCAGTAGAATTAAATACATCCAAGGATGCGGTAAAAGTCTCATTAAAAATGCTTTAAAGTATTACATTGATTAGAAGAAAGAATTTTATGAATTGACCAAAACATATCAAAGGATATTTTAAAACATTTGTAGTATTACGTTTACCGTATCTTAAGTCGCGTAACAAAGTTTCAAAGTCATTTAGCTTCGATTTGAAGAATGTCCAGTGAAAGGAAATCATGTCTAGATTATAATCGCGGAGAACCATATCAACTTTGATGACGGCTTAATGTAATGAACCGAAGCGGTTTTGTTGAATCGAAATTTTGTATCATTCTTCGTGTTTTTTAAAAACTTCAAACATCGATAGAAAGCATTAACACGTTTTTAACCTTTATAAAATTGAAGACGATACTGACGCAGTAACGGTATATTCTTGTTCTGTATAATATAATAGACTGTTATAATCTGGAAATATTACATAATTTTGACATTCGAAGATACTTTACGAAAGCAAACACGTAATTCAGAAAAAAGTATTTAACATACAAATTGTTTTTAATCGCGGCATCATTATTTTAATATACTTAAAATAAAAATTAGCATCGTGGTTAAATCAAGGATGATTTGCATCATTCCTATGCTACAAGGCTATGAAAATTAGATATGACAACAATCAAACAGGATAACGATGCAGCTCGGACATTAATTGCTTATCTGATAAAACAATGACAAGAGGGTTTTAAGTGATTTTTTTTTTTTTCTTAGGTGGCTATGGCAGGAAATTACATCTTATCAGTTGCTTGTATGATGCTTTCTACAATTCAAAATAATGATGTGACTCTTACCGTCAGCCAGGTAAATTATTTAATTGCATTTCTAATATAATTTTTTTAATTTGTTATTTTCCCTTGTTGACAACAGAATTTTAATGACAGTATTATATCAATCTATAATTTATGAAAATTTATGAAAATTTAATATCTTCAGTATATACTTGCGCTGCAATTATTACAATGTCATTATTTTAATAAATACAGTTTTCAATTGTAAATATATATAAATCAAGTTTATACATATACACATTCATGTAAACACATATAAAATTTAATATTTGATGATTTAATAAAAAATTTGATTGCCAAAGTATCTTTAAAACATCTAGAGATTATGACTTGAGATAGATTTTATTCCTATTAGAGACACAATCGATAAACAAAGACAATATAAAAAAAATATAATAATACATTGAGAGGGAATATTCAGAAAAATCAGAAAAACGCCTATTTTTAAGAAATTTTTTTTACGAAAATTGCTTTACTCAACAGAATTAAAATTAGTTAAAACTAATATCTGATGTATACTAGTGAGTGTCACATAAAATTTTTAATTGTGAAATTAAATTTAAAGTTAAGAACAAAATTAACCTTTTTAATCGAAGCATTAAATTAAGTTGCACTAATTTGTAGATTGTCTCTGACTTGGTGCAAGGCGAATTTATGCAGCTTGGTTCCAAAGAAACGGAAAACGAGAGGTTCGCGCACTATCTCACGAAGACTTATCGAAAAACAGCGAGCTTAATTGCCAATTGCATGAAAGCGGTGAGTTTATATCAGCAGTTGTGTGTATAACGAAGTCATCGTCTATTATTTCTTCGTCGCGACTTGTAAATAATTATTAATTACATGACTCAATAAAAAAGTAATAAGATTAAGCCTACAATAATTTGAATATTTACTTAATTTAAATACAACCCCTATCTCCTTCAAAGTAGTTTTCCTTTTGTTATTTATACAGTGAGTTTCTGCCTTGCCTCAAACATTCTCTGGAAATCCTTGAATCGTGTTGAGCATCTTTTGCTTGGATGTTCTTAATCGTATTGGAACACTCTTTCCTGAGCTTTAATTTTATTTTGAAAAACAAAAAAAAAGGGTCACAAAGAACTAAATCCGACGAGAGTAGAGACCTAAGAAAGCGAAGAAAGTTAGGAGCGTGAAGAAAACCATGTTGATCGTTTTTTTTCTTCGCCATTAAGGGGAACCTGTTTTTGATGGTTATTTAGTCAATGCAAATTTTTAGTATTATACCAAATTTTGAGACAGTGTGTGTTACGTGAAGATGTTTGTTGCAAAAGACCGGAACTTGATACGGTTCAAGATATTCAAGTTGAACTGCATAAAAGTCTTAAAATAGTTCGAGATGAAGATTTCAATAAGATGTTTAAGGCATAGCAGAAATGATGGGATTGCTATATAACTATAGAAAGAAACTATTTTGAAGATAATAAAAACCAAATTTAAATTTTGTTTTAGGTAAATATTCAAATGTTTGTAGTCTAGTTTTTTTCTTTGATTGATCTTTGTATTATCTTAGGTCGCCATTCTTTCTGACGTTGATGAACGCACGATAGAGATGGCTTTCCAATATGGCAGAAATGTTGGCTTAGCTTTTCAATTGGTAGACGATCTTTTGGATTTTGTAGCTTCTTCAACAGCTATGGGCAAACCCACGGCTGCTGATCTTAAACTTGGACTGGCTACAGCTCCGGTGCTTTTCGCTTGCGAACGGGTTTGTATACAAAATGTTCAGTAAATTATAAAATAAGAAATCTTTTCATTGATCGTATGATTTAACAGGTACTTTATTATGTTATATTTGTTGATAGATTTTTCAATGTCTCTTTAATATTGTTACTTTAACTGTTGCAGTATCCAGAATTGAATGCAATGATTATGCGTCGTTTCCAAGAGCCCGGAGATGTTAAGAAAGCTTTCGAATTGGTACATAAATCCAATGGTCTTGAACAGACAAGATTCTTGGCGAAGAAGCACTGTGTAGAAGCTAGCAAGATCGCGCAATCCTTTACTAAGAGCCCTTATCAGAAAGCTCTACTCATTATGGCGGATTTGGTCATCAACCGCATGAAATAGCATCAAGAAAAAACGAAGATTAAAGATTACAGTGGAAGCTTGATTTTATAAATATTTATAAGTAACACTGGACGGAAACGGCTAGTACAATTCCCTTGAATTTTATACATTGAATGCGGTCGCAATTAAAGGAAGTTTTTCACGTTTAATATTATATCACTAGTTGAAATTATATATATTGTTATAATTTAATATATTTGAAAATGTTTATAAAATGTAATTAAATAAGGAAATCGATTTTATCATTATAATTCATAGTGATGTAATATTGATATATGATTGATAGCGGAAGCGTATAGCCGTGAATGCGTATGTATCATCGCATTACCGACCATGAGTTTATACCTCATCCGAAGAAAAAATAGAGAAAGCATCTTAAGCCTCGTAACGTATTCGCTAAAGTATTTTTTCCAGAATACTTTATCGATGTATGTGTTTAATTTGTTTGAAAAAATGCAAAAAATTGCATTTTACAAAAAAGTGCCTAGGCATTACGTTTACTTGATCTGTGTGTGAGGAAAATATTACGTATTACCTGATTTTATAAATCGTTAGCCGATCATGTAAATAAAATAATTTAGCATTAGTAACAAGATTAGCATCGTTAATTCTTTCTGTTACGTCTCTTTTATGCATGCAGCTTTCGCATGATACAATTATCTTATTGTCGGTTTCAAAATAAAAATAATGCACAATAATGCACAAAATTATTCTTATAGAATAATTATAATAATTATCGTTAAATAATGTAACGATAATTGTTATAATTATTCTATTTTGAAAACGAATATTATACAATAATTATTGTATTGCGAAAAACCAGAGAAACTGCTTGCGTCAAAGGAGTCTTATTAAGAATTTATTGTAGTATGGCAAAAACAAATTGAAAATTGAAAAAATACATCTACAGTAACGACAGAGTTACAGAATTAACATTACACAATAGAATATCTTTGTCTTAATCATCAAATACAATGTACACATATTTTTGATAAAGTGGAAAGTAATTTCTATCGCAGTAAAATTGTAAACATATATAAAGAGAGATGCCAATATTAATTTTTATTGACAATCCAATTTAAAGGTTTACTAAAAGCGGCATGAAGATTATTTGCCAAAGAAGACCACAAGTTTGTCTTTTTTCTCTTTTTTGCCAAGGAATTTAGTAAAAATTAACTTTGGTTTGTCATATAATTAATAAAAGTTTATTTGCCTCTTTAAGTTTTAGAATGTCATCGAAATTTACGGTGCACGGAAAAATAAAAATTCTTCTTTATTTAGAATGTTATCCAGTAAGAATAGAATCACTTTTGCTACATTTTGCTTAATAGGTGAACTGCTCAAAATATCAATATTACTGGATATGTAAGTATAAATATCTAGTGTACAATAATTTATATTTATGAAAATGTACATAATTGTTTAAAACGTTACACAATCCAATAGAACATTAACTAAGAAACAAGCATGTAATTATGATCAAACGTAGATTTATAATAGGATAAGTACATAATGCAAAGAAGGAGACACAACCAGGATCTCTTCCATATAATTTTGCAATATTTATTTAAATTTTGTGAGAAGAGTGTATAAAAATTTATTCTAAAATATGTTTATATTCAAAAAGGTACAAGAAAGTTTTATAATAAAACAAACGATAAATAACAAAGCATATGCCGAATGCAATTTAAACAAAATTAAATGATACGTATTCCCCATGTAAATTCTAGTTTTCGGACTGTTAAGCATGTATTTGTCTATTTTTTATTTTCTTACATGTTCAAAAGTTAGAAAAGGTTATTGATACATTTTTAATAATTAAAAAATTTATTTAAAGTTCAGTTTTATCCAGAGCAGAACATATTACAACAACGCAAAATTTTCAAAGAAATTGTACTTTATACTAGATTTGAATGTCTTTGAAACATATATTTATGATGTTTGTTTAAATGTTTATATTGTCTCAGTGTCTATACAAGTTATTAGTTTAGAAAAAGTAGTAACTTTCAAGTTTGAATTCGGAAAATATGCTGTGTTAATTTACATACCTGACGCAAACTTATCACATATATAAGATCTGCAACATTTTTTAAATAAGTGCTTCCTATATTAACTAAATTGAATTGTTGTTGATTGCTTTTTTGACAGAATATTATTTAAAGATACTTATCAATCTGTTTTTACTCCTGATTATTGCCAACAAAAATTGGCATAACAAAAAGAATATACATTTTGTTTGAGCCAAATTGATTGTTATTCTCTCATTCTCTTGAATTTATATTATATTAGTGAGTCAGTAAATTTTTTCCAATATTTTTTATAGCAATTTATCAAAATAATTAAACAAGATTTCCCTGATTTGAATCCATATTGAAAAATATTGTACTATTAAGATCTTTAGATTTTCAAATAACGTTTATAGCAGGAATATGGTACAATACTATTCTCACATTGAATAATTATATTGTTGATTGATTAACTACTTTATCATAAACCTTTAAGCTAAATATAAGTTCAGTTATTGTGTTGGGGATCATTAAATTCAAAAGAGTATATAAGTTTTTTAAATATCTATGTGAAATTATAAAATATATCTTTTTGAACATACAAATACAGGTTGTTTTAAAATTTAATATATTTTCCCGTTTCACGAATATTCTATGATTATTATATTTAATATTTTTTATGAGAAAAAGTGAACTTTTTAAAAATTTAAAAATAAAAATTAATAAGAAGGCTCTATATGTATAAAACAATATAAAAATATAACTAGGGCGTAGAGCCAATTTAATTTAACAAATTATTTTAATTCATATATTAATACAATAATACAATATGAAGATTATATAATGATAATTTAATTTTAAGGTATATTATTGTATCATCGAAAATGACCCGATCGGTGTCGAAACGTCTGAAGTTGTATTATTGTATTAATATATGAATTAAAATAATTTGTTAAATTATATATATATGTAGATTGGCTCTACGCCCTAGTTATATTTTTATATTGAACTTTTTAAAGTTTTATATTAATAGTTTGTATATAAAGGTAATGTCATCTAAAAATTAATTTTATAAAATATTTTAGAGTTTACTTTGATTCCTGTATTTTCATATAAGAAATGAAATATCTCGTATATATAAGATATTAATTTTCCGATGACTTTATCTTGATATTTTTGGGCTCAAAACAGAAAAGTTACTGTAAAGTCGATTTAATTACGTATTATAATAAATGATAATATTTATTGACTATTAGTAGTTAAGATATATGTATGTGCTCTAATAACCTTGAATACTTAATTCTATACGTATTTTTGTATCGGATATTGATAATGTTCTCAGTTTTCGATTATCTTTCGAAAAGATAAGATTGTAGTATTTTCGATATTATAACAACTTATTAGATTTTGTTAAACACAACTAATTATTGCGAAACATTTTAAGTACACAATTTTAACACACAAGGTGAGTCGTCAAAAATATAACATGTATATCAGAACAATCTATGTAATCGCTAGGATACACAATTTATAATTAAATAGATGCATATTATTTTTACATTAAAAAATGTTTACAACAATTATCAACAAAATTTATTTTTATATTTCTTTTGATTACTACAATTGTTTATATTTTTCCTTTTTTTATATATTAAAACCCATAGAAAGAGAGAGTTTTGCGTTTGTATTGTATTTTTTAAAATGTTTTTACGGATATCTCTCTCTCTCTCTCTCTCAAACGAAAATTGGTATAACACCTTTGAGACTGTTATTAATTAGCGATCTAACTTTTAATTTTGTCCAAACAATTGTAACAAATTACAAAAGCTAATAGAGTTTATTTTATATCTTTTTTCTCTATTTTCCTTATATATTATACTAATTAAAGCTATAAAACATCCTCTATGAGTAAAAATTTCCTTGGAAAAGACGTTTTAGAATGTAGTCTAAATTATGATCATGGACGTATTATTGTAAATAAATGTTCTCTATCCTACAAATTTTGTCATCAGGTACATTTATTAAAAATGCAAAACGCAGTGTAGAATATGTTTGAATAATTCAAATATATATTTTGTATATTTCATGTTCCATTCTACATTTTTTTTTAACTAGATACTTTTTATGATAAGTTGAATATACAATACGTAAATATACAACGCGAGAATGCTAATTGTTTTATTTTAAAATAAATATATTTATTGAATTTTTTCTTGATTTGTTCGTATTACTGTTATCTTCAATTTTAATTAAATGCCAATTTTTGTTATAAAAGAAAATTAAGTAAAATCTTATAGTATATTCGTAGAAAGTTATGTAATCATAAATTTATGTATTACAGAAAATTCGCGAACATGTAATAATTATTTATATTCGACTCATATATTTAGATATTATAGATCAATGTTTTTATGTCAGTTAGACGTAATCATATATTGTAAGGCGATTGTGTTTAAAGAAATTTAAATAATTTGATTTTATTTTGATTGAGTTTATTTACCGTTAGGTCACATAATATTTGATATTATTTAGTTTAAGTATATTTATTAATCAATATTATTAAACAATATTATAATAAATTATTATTAAATATTTACAATTTTAATACTTGTTATAACCTCTGTTAAATAATAAATTATCAAAAGTTTTTTTAATATTTCTTAATAAAAATTAATATAGTTTTTTTTGTATCCCTATATTCTACTTTTTACATACAAAATTATGGACAACTCTGTGCTGCGCAATTAAATTTTTGTTATTCATTAAAAAATTTCTACAGATATATCTGCAATGAAAATTGATATGGAATTCTTAATACTGTTATTAAATAGTGGCCTAATATTACTTTTTGGTGCGGCAGATATAATTTATGACCCAGATTTGGCACATATAGGCTATATAAAAATAGCATCTAAAAACCGTTTACCAACTCATATATCTCCGGAATGGTATAAAATCGATTTACATATACATGCTACGGATAGAAATCTTCCTTCTAGAGGCCGATGTTCAATCGACATTAAAGTTCACAATCGAACGAGAAACATAACTCTTCACGCGGATATATCATATTTACAGGAATTAGAGTTTCATGGAATAACAACTTTATTTAAACCATATGTGCGGACGTTAAAACCAAACTTCACTACATACAGTGATGAATATAATACCTGGATCTATTACTTCGTTGAAGTAATACATCCTGGTTCATACAGACTAGATTTCACATTTGAGTTGACTAATGTAGACAATGAAGGAATTTTCAGAACATCATTTATAAATGATAAAGGAAATACAACGTGAGTAAAAATAAAAATGTTATAAGCACATTGTTATATATTTCTAATTAAATATTTATAATTATCAAAAATATATCATTGAAATGTAACAGATGGTTAGCAGCATTAGATTTTCTGCCAATTGGGGCCCGACGAGTGTTTCCTTGTTGGGATGAACCAGGATTTCCGGCGATTTTTGATATTTATATAAAATATAATTATGTGGATTACATAATTTTGTCGAATATGCCACTTCTAACTGAAATTGAATATGTACTTGATATTAGCGAAACGGTGCGTTTTTATTCGACTCCTGAAATCCCAATACATCACATCTCAGCAATACTGTTATCGCATTTTACCACAACGAAAATACCGTTGCTTGAAGGTAAGAATTATACATTTGTAAATTCTTTTAACATATTCGTAATTAATGATTTCTTAATGAATAATTTCTTCTTGTCATCAGTTTCTAGAATATATCTTTAGAAACTAACATATTCTTTAATTTATTCTTTTTTAAACTAAAAATATATTCTAACTTTATGAAGATCTACTATGTACGTATTCTCGCCAATAGTCTATGCGTTTTTTATAAAGTACATTTAATTTGGTATTTGCAATATTTTTAAAGTATTATAAATAGTGCAGTATTTAGTGTTTGGTTAAAATCTGACTGATTTTGATGAATGAGAAAATAATAAAAGGATTTAAAAAAGAAAACTTTTAATAGTTGACTTAACACATATGTTTATAATAAGTAAGTTTCTAAGGCCCGGTTGCATCAACGTTACTTTAACTTTAAGCAAGACTTAAAACTCTCTCCGTCTCGGTCCCTCTTTCGGCTTTAAAAGAAACAGAGAGAGTTTTAACTGTTTTAAGCCTCTCTTAAAATCGAAGTAACGTTGGAGCAATCGAGCTTAAGACATATTTATACGTTATTATATAATAGGAATGTATATGAAAGAAATCCTAAATTGGACTTTTTAAATTTAAATAAATACGGTTAAGCAGATTTGCGTGCTACTTATAATGTAAAGTCTTTATAAGACTCCGAATATGTGACAGCAGTTTGGCAGTACTCTGTCATAACGATCATAGAATAGACGCAAACGTGTATTTTCGGCTATCATGCAAAAATTTTTTTAAAAAAGAAAACCCTTGTAAATTATTATTTAAAAGATGTTAAAAATTTGAACGGTAATTGATTTAAGATAGTTAAAGAGTGTAGAATTCAAAAATATCAAGAGTTTTGTGATTACTTTTGCGGTTTATTGTAAAATTTGTTCCAATAGTTTGAAAGAACCCATGTCCAAATCGGACCTCTCTTTGGGTGCCCAAATCGGACCTCTCTTTGGGTGTCCAAATCGGATCTATATACAAAAAACACTAAAAAGAAGAGTAAGCCAGCTAATTCATCGAAGAAAGAAGGCTTGCCACAACCTGGTTGTAGTAATGGTAATCGACTGATCAGATCTGATCTAAGAGATACTAAATCAATAAAATATCATGTGTCATCAAGCTCAGATTGATGGAATTTTTTATTGATTTTAATTCTAATAATATAAACTGTACTTTTATCTTTGAATCTTAAATTGCTCGTTTTTACTCAATACTAACAAAAATTAATTAAAATATTTTAAAATTCTATCTAAAAGTTCCAAAAAATAGGAGAGTTCCGATTTGGAACCATGAGTTCCGTGAAAATGCATTTTTACATTTTTCATTATATATAGTTCGACACAGGTAAGAGATACGTTAAAATGGTCTAAAGCAAAAATGAAGGAAATAAAATGATCTGTCGAACGACACCATTGATCTTATGATCAGACTTTATTTACGCCTTATAAAGAACAAAAACTGTAAATAGGTCCAATTTAGACCTCTCCTCTATATGTACGCATCGGAATACAAACTCCTGGCTGTGTCTTTTTATGACACGTACTTCTCATTTCTTCTCATTTTTTCTTATGTTTTCTCTGATACGTCAGCAACTCGAATGGCTAGGCATTTATGTTCCCAACGTGTGCACAACAATTTTATATTATACAAGTATCCCTAGAAAATATAGATACTTTCTTCTATTTGTCGGCCCTGATATTAAAATAGTGAATAATCAATGACATGTTGAGATCAAAGATGCCGACACGAAGTATCAATCCATACTATGGTACCGTTACACTGTGGTTACACACAACACGTAAAATTATAAATAAAATTCTATTTCGAATTATAGATCGTCTAAAGTGAACTTAAGATTCTTCCTCGAGCTTTTTTATTATCTTTTTATCTATCATATAATTAATCAGGTTTTGATCAGACATAAACACTGCACTGTCTATAATACTATGATTGGAATCCGTTCATTAATCTCAAGATCATCTCAAGCAATATAATTCCTTAAGATGCTAATACGGTTCTCTAATTAGTTCATGACTTATAAGCACTCTAGTTTAAAAACATCTCGAATCTTGAGCAACATCTATGGATGGTACCCTTTATTTATACACTAAAATAACAGATTAGATAAAATGAAACAAGATTTGATACTTTTCACCAAACTATTCCATACTTAATCGATACTTATAACTGTGGATTATGTAATTATATTAAATCGACCTCTGATGTGAAAACCTGAGAGATTAAATAGCACATATATATTTTTAGAGTAAATGTAACAGTAATAAAATTTCACCTTACTCATATTTTTATAAATTAAAAACGTCTATTTTTTTAGAACCTATGTATATTTTAATAGCAATTGTTATAAAAATAAGCAGGAAATTCTTAAGCTATATAAGAATATAATTTTCCGATATTATAGATAATATTGATTTAAACATCAGATACAGACAGCAATTAAAAATGAATTATATCTCATTTGCAAATAATGTTATTGATCTAACCACATCATATTTAATATCGCTACACGATCTCGAGAATACGACAGGTATAACTAATGTAATAATCCCAGGTTATTACCGACACGATGCCGTTTCAAAATTAGGACTCATTTATTATAGGTATATTACATTTTCCTTTTAAAGAAATTATGCATTTTCTATTGAATAGAAAATGCATTTTACTAAATAATATTTCTTATATTTTTACATCAAAGTCTCATATATTAAATTATAAAAAACGTTATACAATATATTTATATTTTTTAATTTATTTTCTTTATTTCAATCAATTTGTATATTACACCAAAATAAGCCGATATACATAAAACACTATCATTTAGTAGCCTAATGTACAATAAAAGTACGATTATAATTAAGAAATAACTAAAATTTAAAACAATTAAAAAAATAAGACAAACGCAACACGATTGTATTATTGAAATAAAATGTTTTGTAGAGAAGCAGCTGTTATATTTGATGAAAAAAATGATCCGAAAATGCGTCAACTAGAAATTGCCCTTTTAATTGGACGTTCAATAACATATCAATTCTTTAGAAATTGTATCAGTAACTCTTGGTCTTACATGTGGTTAAACCATGGTCTTACAACATTGCTCGCGTTGGATGCAATTGATGAGGTTTTTTTCAATGTTATTTCTAATGACAAACAATATAGTACATGCGTATTTAAATTAAACTGATATAGTAATTAAGACCTGAAAAAACTCTTTCTAATAGTTTGGATACTATTATATATGTAACTTAAAATAATTATTTGCAGTAATAATAACAATAGTGCAATGCAATAAAATTGCGCGATGCATACTTTTCTGCTAATACGAGCGTTCCACCTAATTAAGTATTAATTATATTTTTTCTTATTTTAATTATTGATTAAAATTTTTCTTCTGTAGAATTTCCCAGAATTCCATATAAAAGACTTGTTTGTCGTTCAAACTCTGCAAGAATCTCTTCGTTTCGATGATGATTTTATTATGAAACCTCTTATATCAGATATGAAAAGTCCTGAAACAGAACTTCTCTCTGCGTCTTATTATTTGAAAGGTGAAATATAATTAAATTAATATAAATTTTTTTGAAATGTAAATGTCAAAAAAAGTATATAAACGGTAAGTGTTATATTTTTATCTACATGTTACTTTATTTATTTTATTTTACAATCAAAAGTAAAAAGGAAAAAAATAATTAATTCGACAGAGTAAATTTATTCTTTACAAGATTATTTTTACAGATATATATGATTGTAATAAATACTTCAAATAATTATATTTGATAAACTGATTTTTTTTTATAGCACCATCTATATTGCGAATGTTACAACATATGCTTTCAAGTTATGTGTTTGAGAAAGGTATCAAGATATATTTAAGCCGAAAGTAAGTAAAAACTGCAACATATTTGTAAAACTGTAGCATTCCACACACACATACACACATTCGCAAAATTTATGTTTTATACATTAATAATTTTAAATTATCAAATGCAACTTTTATTGGAGAGAGAGCAGTTTATTAATAGTAATGATAAACTTCACAGTCCCGTTCTAGAAGAGCCAATTGATTCTTTCTGGACTGCTATGCAAAGTGTTTATGATGCTTCTGCATTAAACCACCGTATATATGAATCAAGCGTAAAGCAGTTAATGGATGCTTGGACAAAGCAACAGCACTATCCTATAGTGGAAGTTACATTCGATTCTCATGTGACAGTATCTGCAGAAAATATGAATTCTACTAATGAGGAAAAGTGGTGGATACCTTACACCACAGTTACGAATAGAAATGATAAACCTGATTTTTCCTTATTATTAATACACTTTGATTTGCGGTTCCTTTCAGTAGGAGACGACATATTCTTACCTGATAAGGTTGAAACTAACTGGACTATAATTAATGTACAACAAATAGGTAAGTATCAATTGAGAAATATACTATACTTAAATGTTTAGTGTATAATATACAGAAGCTATGCGTTTCGCGAGTTATTTCTAGACCCGCGTATCATATTATTAGAATGTCAATGTTTCGTGAACATTGCAGTTCACGTCATCAAGGCGAGGATGAAATAAAATATCTCATAATTCATTTATTTAAAAAAAAATTTGTATACCATAATAATTTTATATAAGAGCGGAATATAATTTTAGAAATTATATTATAATTACTATATTATTGAAAAAAATCACGTAATTCCATTTAAAAGATGGTAACAATTTTGAAATCGCAAAAATGTAACCCTAACTGAGAAAAATATTTAGATATCATAATATATATTAATCCTTCCGAAATGATCAATAATTTTTCTCTATGATATCCTGTTGGACCAAAATAGAAACAAGAAAGGTGTTCTAAATGTCCAAATAAAAACCCAATATATAAATTATTTATAACTTTATTTATAATATGATATTTTATTTATAGTTTCTTTAAATATAATTTTATATAAGTTTTTTTTCTATAATTTTATAACGTGATAATCTTAATACTAAATATAATAGAAAATATAGAAGTATAGCAAAAGTATATTTTTACAAAAATCGATCAAGATTACATATATACTATATAATAATTAAAAAATTCTTGATTGTACAACAGGATATTATCGTGTCTTTTATGATGAATCTATTTTGAATCTAATCAGGGAATACTTATTTATGCATGAACATATAAATAAAATACATGTTCTGAACCGTGCTCAAATTATCGATGACGCATTTTACTTTTTTATGAAAAATAAAATTAGTTTGCGTGCATTCTTGGAACTTACGGAATATCTTCGGAAAGAGAAAAATTTTATAGCATGGTATCCTATGTTTAAAAGTCTTGAATACATGTCGACTTTCTTTCATTATCGGCATAGTTCATATATGAAGGTATAATAATAAATTTTATGAATAAAGAGTATGTAAAAAAAATTAAATTGTAATTAATTTTACATCAATTTTTTTAATATCTTTAATAAAATAGTATATGTTGAAATGAAAAATTATTTACTTTTTTGTTTTTAAAGTCTAATTAGTTTTAAAATAGTATACTAAAAGCATTATATTTCAATTTCATCATGAGTCAATTTTGTAAATATTATACCTAATTTTTAAAACAGCAAAGTCTTTCTATAATTTATATTATTTTCTTTTAAATATATTGATTAAACTAATACATATAAATGTATAATTTTGTAGTAAATATGTTTATAAAATGTATACATTGCAATAATTTCAGATTAGGCTTAGCTTATGAAAATAAAAAATTAATAGTTAATACACATATGATTTTTTTTATCAATATAATAATGAATTTTAACATAAATCTTGTATTACTAATACTTAATAATTTTTAGACAAGTATGATGAGAACAGTAAATGATCTTTTTGTTCTAATAAATGATGATTCGAGTTTCAGTTTAAATTATTTAAAAGATAGTTTAAAAGAAGAGATTTCAAGATGGGCATGTGTTCTTGGTTCTTCCGAATGCAAGGCAGAAGCTAACTCTAAATTAAAAACACATTTAAAAGAAAAAAAGTAATATAAATAATTATTTGTATAATTATTTTTAATTTTTAATAATAAAAATATTTTCATATTTATACAATGCTTAATAAATTATTAAATTAATTTGCAAGAATACGAACAAATCTTCGTAATTAATTTTCATATTTTTTTCTAATATTCTATAGTATTATTTTGCCTTGGTGGAAGAAATGGACATATTGTAATGGTTTAATGATAGCAGATAATAATACATGGTTTTCAGCGCTACTCCATATAGATTATACTGAAAGATCTAATTATAAAATATTTGAATACCTAACTTGCTCCGAAAATTTTCTTTTTATTCGTCATTATATAGATTTCATAGAATCGTCAGAAACTATGAATGACACGGCAAAAGATTACAGCCAAATTCTTATTTTTCATTCAATCATTGCGAGACATGCAAAGAATGATACGATGCTTGATTATTTATTAGCAAATTTGCATAAAATACCCAGGTATTTTTATTCGAAGATATATTGTTTAAATTCTTCAAAAAATTTGTTCATATACTAATAATAAAGCTCTTTTGTTTATACAGAAAAATGACTGTGACTGTAGCGTTAATAGATATTATTAATCACGTGTATACCGAGGAACAATTGAATAAGGTAAATTATATAGTGCCTCATTAAAATTACATTTATTATTGTACCTGTTTATTTATTTTATGTTGTGTGAATGTGGTATGTGTAATATAATATATAATATATTATACTTTTATGTTTTATGTGTCACACTGATTTTTTAAATATTAAGTTAACACAATAAAATTACAAATAAGTATTGAAATAATTTTGTCTTAGATTACTGAATTTATACAGACATTAAACATTCTAAAATATACGACTGACAATTCTATATTTAAGCATCCGCTTATGGATTATAAACTATACGAAAAGGTAAATTTTATGTATTTAAAACATATTTATTTAATTATTTGTCTTTATATTTAATTAATGCATTTATATCTCTTTTATTTATAATATTACATATAAATACATATATTATACACGCACCCGAGCTGTGCGCATATATATTATCCTATTCTAATTATATAATCGATAATTATAAATAGATGGCGTTGTGTAAAATTTTTATCATTTAATATTAAATTATTATTTAGTCTTTAGAATTGAATATTGTTAAATTATTATATTTATTAATGTTCACTGTATGTATTATGTTTTTAATTATTTCAACAATTTATTTTAGATAAGGGCATGTGTGTCAATACCTGAATTACCACAACTATTAATTTTTATGAAAGTTAATTATTTCATTAAACGCCTAACATTACGCCGATCTCAAATAATTCAACAAGAAGAACGTTTACAGTTTACTTAATTTATTATCCATAAATTTAAATAAAGCCAATTTATGTAATGTTTACTCAATATTAATTATACTCTATCAGATTAATATATATGTTTAATAATTAATGTTATATTATATGTTTAACGTGTATACGTCTATTTTTGTTATAAAAAATAATCTGTTTGAGTTATGTAATTATAACATAATATATGTCATTACTATAGGTAACTGCATTATAAAATAAAGCATATTGAAAAACATCACTTATTAATTTTTGAAACAATTTTTTATTAAGTCTAAATAATACAATTTTTTAAGTGTCGGAGAGTATGCATATTTCCCAGTGAGAAACAAGTATCCATTCAACATCGAATCAACGATCAATGTCGAATTAATGCGATTTCAACGTCGCAATTTGACAGTCGCATTTCTCATTAGAATATGGCATATTTTAGGCAGCACAGAATATTTATAAATATTTATTATAGATATTTAAACAATAAATATATCATAAATATTTATAATAATTAAATGTGTTTATGATCTATGCAATCTATATAAGATCACAAAACTATTCACAAAATATTTAAAATACGCTTTATAAATATTTACAAGTATTTTGTAAATATTTTACCATATAGATATTGTACCTATTATTATGTGTTGCTTGGAATATGCGCGCGCGGTGGTGTGTGTATGTATATATATACATCTTATATTATATATATGTTACTATATTTCAGATTATTTTATATTATTTAGGATGTGGTCGAGTTGCAGCTACGAATGCTTCAAAGCACTTACTTGACTGACCAATCGGAAAAAAGAATTTTATTAACTGGCCAATCAAAAAATGCTTTAAAGCATTTGTAGAGCGGCAATTAACTCGACTGCACTCTTTATTATATTAAATATTAATAATAGATATATAATGTATACGTATATAATAAATATAACTAATACAATATATAATAATTTTATTATATTATGATTAATTAGTTATTATTAAGTTATAATTAAAATATATATATGTTACATCATCTTTATTAAATTTCGAGTCGTAGATGTATATACAGATATATATATCAGATATTACAATAATAAAATGGATCATAAAATCATATCGTGTATTAAACACCGAGTCAACTTCAAAAATTATTCAAAAACCAGAATCGTGGATGTGTTATCCATTGAGAAAATTGATATGTGAATGTGACTACGTAATTCGAAGTACCCATGTCATAAGTATAGAGGAGCTAGTGTCACTTGGATCGCTGAAGTTTTAGGTTAATTAGACAGCGGCAAGAAGACGGCAAGACCGGTCGAGAGCGCGGTGCGTCCAAAGTGCCATTGACCAGCTGCGAACCGTCTGACGATTCTTTTGTCAAAGGCACCGCGCACCGACGAAGAAACGAAAGATCGACCAGTTAAACGATAAGCGATAATGGCAACGCCCACCTGTGATAAGAAAGCGAGAGTGATCGTTTTAGGAGGTGAGGTATCATACTGTATATCTATATGCCGGCTGTGGGGAGCGGAAGAGCGATAAGACGGTGAGACCTTTATCCGTTTGCGGTTACAGGGTGTGGTTTCATCGGCCGCAATCTCGTGGGGTATCTGCTGGATAACAATCTGGTATCCTACATACGAGTCGTGGACAAAGTACCACCACAGACTGCGTGGCTCAATGCAAAACACCAGCAGGTGTTTGAGCATCCTTTGCTCGAATTCAAGAGCGCCAACTTGATTAACATAGGTAATTATAACCAGGACACATCAAAGAGCAGGAGTTCCGCGTTGGCTAAATCAATTTACATTTATACAATTATAAGAAAAAGAATTTTCAATTCTTATTACTTGTTAAAGAATAGTTTCGCTTCCTTATTTATTAATATTTGTCAAAGACTCGCTTTCTCTTATTTATTATTGTGTTTGTTCTGTGGTAAGATTAATCATTAATTCATCATGTGCTTCAGTCTATCATAAATTATAAAAAAAATATAATATAGATAATCTCTAAAAGGATCATTTTTGTTGTTCTATTAAAGTGTCCTGTCAAAATGTGTTTTCTTCTGACGAGCCTATCGATTATGTGTTCAATTGTGCTGGAGAGACAAAGAGTGGTCTCACAGATCCGGTATACAAAGAAGGTATTTACAAATTGAGTCTAAACTGCGCCCAACAAGCAGCAAAGATTAGAGCCTTGCATTACGTGGAGATATCTTCTGGTAACCTTAACGCTTCAGAAAAGGTATATCTCTGAATGCGGTATACTTTAACACAAATATGAATTCAGGATTAATCATTGTGCAATATCACGTAGACTCCTTACAAGGAAGATGATGCCGGAGAACCGTGGACGTTTGTCGCAAAATACAAATTACAAGTGGAAAACGAATTGAAGAACATACCAGAGTTGAAATATACAATACTCAGACCGGCTATTGTATATGGTTGCGGTGATAGACATGGCCTAGGTAATCTTAATTTCTCTCTCAATTTTTATTGTTATCAAATAAACTGATCTTCCTTTTAATTTAAAAAAAAAAACAGCAAAAGAATATACTTTGGTAACTTGCAGCACCAAGACTGGTAGTGGGTGCAGTTTATAAGCATTTAGGAGAGATGATGAAATTGCTCTGGGGACCGCATCTACACATGAATACGGTTCACGTGAAAGATGTTGTTAGAGCTATGTGGCATGTAGCTAATAGACCAGAAACAGTAGGCCAGACGTATAATCTCGTGGATGAGGGAGATTCTACTCAGGGATCTATCAGTGCCATAGTCTCGGAACTGTTTAATATCAATCATGATTATTGGGGCACAACGCTATCTACACTGGCTAAAGTATACAGGCCTTTATTTTATTGTTCTTAATGTTTTATACATATATAATATATATGGAGTTTGTTTTTATCTTCTGCTTTGTAGACCGATATGAGCTCTGTTGTTGAGGAAGTAAATGACAAACACATGGCCCCTTGGGCAGAAGCATGTCGTAAAGATGGAGTGGAGAACAGTCCTCTGTCCCCATATATAGATCAAGAACTGTTATATAATAAGCACTTGTATTTACAGCCTGGAAAATTATCAGACGCCACAGGATTCACGTACCTGTACCCTAAATTAACGAAAGATGCTCTTACAGAGGTAAATTATCATTTGATTTCATAAGCTAGTCTCGAAGAAAAAAGACGCGCGTATGTGTGTAAAGATGAATATTCACAAAATTACTTTCTCCATTTACAGGTACTTAATGATTATGTAAGCATGAGGATCTTTCCACATTCCTTGGTTCTGTGAACTTAGCAATACCGACTGCCGAATTCAAATATCGATTCTCTTTTACATAAAGATGCTATAACAGATACGGACGCCGAGCTCCGTTTTCACCTTGTGCCTAAAAAGGTTCTATACTAATTATATATATTCTATTATACACGTTATATACATCTTTACTTGACGTTTTACACGCCAGCAAATATTGCTAAATGAGATTTTAGAAAAGTGCATATATATGAAATTTGGATATTTCGTAGACGGCCTATTGCCAATGTGATAAAATAGCAATTAACGTACTTAATTTTAACATAGTTCTGCAAGTACAGAACATTTTCGCACCTTAAAGATGACTAGTCAAACAGTGACGTTTAAGAATGATTCGGAACAAATTCTTATACACGAGGATAGATATGTGTACAAGAATACTTAAACTTTAAGACGTTTATGATCTATGAATCAATTTTGATTAATGTTTTAGAAGATCATTGATCAAACAGAATGCTTTTTATATACTATTTTTTCAAGATTGGACTGCGTACCAATAAAGTTGTTGAAAATATATATTTCTTATATTACTAAATGCATAACAAGAGTTCTTTTTATATCTGCTACATTCCAAGATGTATATCTTCCACACAAAGCTGTGAATCAAGTCTTTCTATTGAATAACTGTTACACATATAATTTTATTATCGACAATTTTCGAGTATGTGCGACCTAAAGAATTGTATTAAATTAAGTACAAACACTATTAGAGGTGCGTTTAGAAGATATAAATATTCCTACAGAAGATATTCCTACAAAAGATATTCCTTATCGATATATGAATGATCGTTCATATTTATTTGATCGTTCAGATTTATATTTGAACTATGCGCGCGTTTACACATATGTAAAACACTTAATATAAAATAAAAAATTATATTCTATTTGGCCTTAAATGCCTCATATAAAGATATTAGTAAGTGTGTATTACACTGTCGATATTTTGTTGTTACGTCCATGTTGCTACAAGTTCTTTGATAATAAAGTTGCTCCATTTACGAAATCGTATTGACTTATTGTACCTTCACTTTATTAAATGTTTTTTGTGTTGTAGAAGGGATATACTTTTTTTTTTTATACTAAATGTGCATTTGTACACTGTTTTAATTTTATTGAATCAGTGGTTACAACAAGACGACATGTTCAAGAAGGGTCAACAGTATTATTAAATATTTAGTGTATTTAGTCTTAATACTTCAAACAATAAGATTATAATTTCATGTAGTTCATTATACGTAATATATTAAAATATATATTTTGATGTTCTTCGCAGATAATATAATATGTATATATACAATCGCAGGTAAAAGTATGTACAAAGTAACTGCACCCTAAAGGATAATTGTCGCACACATCGAGATAATAGATCTAAATCGGAAAGAAGGGCGAAATGAGGGCTTGCGAAAAATAAATTAATAGACTTCTTAATATATAATAATTACGATTAACGATAATAGTATATAAATGAATAAAATTACTGGATTCTCTTCATCTGTATATATTAGATGTAAAATAAAGTGTAATGTCTTGGCTATTTATATATACATATATTATGTATGCTGTTACACACGCAATATATGTGTATACATAATATATGTATGTGCGTGTGTGTGTGTGTGTATGTGTGTGTGTAATATAACATATTGTATACACGCACGTGCGTATATATCCACCGGGCGTGAAAATATAATCTTTGAGGT